AGTGAATGTACAAATGTGCTTTACACAATTGATGTATGTATGGATTGTGATGAGAGCTGTATGAGCCCCTAATAAAATGATTTAAAAATAAATAAATGGATAAATAAAATCTAATAATTCCAACATCTGGGCTTCCTCAGAGATAGTGTCTAGTGACTGCTATTCACCCAGCACATGGGCCATAATTTTTCTCTTCTGTTTCATGTCTCCTAATACAAAATGTCTACCCCAGTAATCAGACCTGCCCTTCTCCGCCTCACAGCCCTTTGAGTGTCTTGTTGTGTTGGTCAGTGATTTCCCAGGCTAACCCTTCATCTGTCAAGTCAGTGGTCTTCATATGCGGATGACACACACTTGTTTGCAGACTGCTTCCCCAGGACTGATTTTCGTAAGGACTGCTAGGTGCAACCCCCACCTTTTTTTCACATGCTGTTGTTTAAAAAAACAACAACAGCATGTTTACAAAAACTACCTCCTGGGGAGAGAGAGTAGTTGGGCAACAAATGGAGAAGTTGTGTGTTCTTTCCATAAAACTGGTATCTTCTTGGTCGTGTTTAGCTGTTAGAGTCTCTGGTTACCTAATTGGTGAGATGATGATTTGACGGATTTTATTCAATGCGCTCAACCCTTGAGCCCCTCACCCTTTTCCAAGGGCATCTGTGGGTGTTGGCCTGTGCTTTCCATGCTGCAGCAGTTCCCCACGCTGCCTTTCACTCCCTCGTGCTGGCCATCCAAGTCAGTGGGAGTGAGAGCCGAGGGTTCTGTCAGGTCTTTGCTGGGTGTGAGCCCAGCCTCCCTGTGCGTGGGGTCTCCTAGATCTCCAGGGAAACTTCCTAGATGTTCAGAGTCCTCCATCAGCATCTCATTCCCTAGATGGTGCATTTAAACATTTTGGCCAGTGTCTTGTTTTTGTCCCAGCCGATATTGCCACTGTAGGCACTGCTAGCATTTTCTAACCAATCGCTGGTCCGTGTGTTGGTTGGTTGCTTTCCTTTGAAATACAAATTCCTTGGGAGCAGGACCTTCCTCCCTGGACAGGGGTTGAGTTGGCAGACACAGACTGGCTCTGGGCATGGGTCTTGAGGAACTTCCAAACTTTCTTCCTCCCCACTGGCTGCCAGGCTGCTGGCTTCCGAGGCAGCCACGGAACGAGATGAGGTGGGAAGACGGAGAGCTAGCAGCAGCTCCAGAGAACTCCCAGTTCTGACCAGGATTTAGCTGGCTGGGGTCCTCTGCCCGTCTTCCCGTCGCTTTTATGGAAGAGTAGGTTTGCAGAGGTTCTTCCACGATTTGGGATGTGCTTCTTGACCTGCCTGTGTTTTCAACCACTCTTTGTTCTATTGGTATCTCGAGCGTGACCTGTGTGTACATTTATTGGCAGCCACGAGAGTCCACTCTTCGATTTCATCGAAAGCTGCTTGAGGAACAAACACGAGATGGTGATCTATGAAGCTGCCTCGGCCATCATCCATCTCCCCAACTGTACTGCACGGGAACTGGCGCCTGCCGTTTCAGGTCGGGGAGTACTTGATAGCCAGAATCCTTTATGCTGCTGTGTTTCAGATTTGCAGGTCTGTTGGATAGGTTGTAAGGGTCGATGACAAGCCTTAGCACAGTGTATATAACCTCTGTGTTCTGATAGCACATCTGTCAAGAGTCCATTTTAGTTGTGCTTTGATAACTTCATTTTCTCAAGTTACTATTTTTTCCACATTAAAAAAATTAAATGAGTTTAACTTAGAAAATAAGTAACTTTAGTACTATGGCTTTCCTAGATGTTTAGAAAGTTTATTTGTTTTATAACATGAAATAATTAGAGTGAGAATAAAATATTATTGGTCTGTTGGCCTTTTCAGAAGAGCAGATTTTGTTTTCTGTGAATCTAAAGTGTTCATAGTGAGACAAAAAGTGGTTTTTCTCTCATGACACATTTCTATGCTATGAACTAAGCTGTGTGTTTTCTAAATATGACCCTTAAACACATTAAATTTCCAACTATCTGTGATGAAATGAGCTACACTTAACAATGTGAGACCTCTTTCTTTTTCCTTTTCTCTTTTCAGTTCTTCAACTTTTCTGCAGCTCTCCAAAGCCAGCCTTACGGTATGCAGCTGTAAGGACCTTGAACAAGGTGGGCGACTCTTTCCTAGCTCTATTGACTTACCTAGTGGGTGATTGTACATTACTGACAGTGAAATATTTTGCTTTCTCTCCAAGGTGAATGGATGTGATTTATAGGTCTCACTTCTATAATGCCTCCCTTGTATTTGTGGTCCTAGGTGTGCCCATGTTTATTAATCAACTGAAGATTGTAATTCATTCTTTTACTGCTAAGCATGCTGGAGTCAAGAGCCATTCTGTGCTGTGTGCTGACCATCAGCCAGCCACACATGGCTATTTCTATTTAGACTAGTGCGTGGGAATTGAGACAGAAGATTCAGTTCTTCAGTAACACTAGTCCATTGCTGATGCCGAGGAGCCACGTGTGGGTCGTTACTGGCTCGTCAACTGCACAGCGTGCATAGAGAGCATCTCTACCCTTGCAGAAATTTCTCGTGGACAGGGCCTGTCGACAGCAGCTCTATGTAATAGGAACGATGTGAGCTACAAATGTAATCTTTAATTTTGTAGTAAAAATATTTTAAGGGTGAAATTAGTTTGAATAATAGATTTTACTTAAGCCAAATATCTAAAATGTCTTTTTATCAGGTAATGAAGAATTAAAGGGTTTTGGGTTTTGCAGTTTTTTTTCCTACCAAGACTTCATCATTTAGGGTATGTTTTGTACTTAACAACACATCTCAGTATGGACTCACCACATTTCCATTGTGTTTTAGTCCCATATGGCTCCTGTAGTGGAGAGCATACGTCCAAAGCATAGGTTCCCAAGCTTATTTGGCCTACCGCCCCATTTTCAGGGAAAAAAAAAATTGCTCAGCCACCCCCCTTTCCTAGCACATAGAAATGTTTGTACTTTAGCCTAGAATGAAGTATAGATACCTGCTTTTGCAGCCCTCCCCTCTCTCCCTCATCATTCCAGCACACACACCTTTCCTTTGGGAAACACTTGTCTAAGGGACTAAAGAATACAACACAGGAACAGTATAAATTCAACGAATGAAATATTTTTCAAGTAAAAATTTGGTGCAACAGATGATTTGTCATAAAGCTGTACCCCACCATTTATTAAAAACGAATTGGATGAAGAATTGGAAGGCAGAAGTCTAGAATAGCCATGGAAGAAGCCTTGTAGAACCATTTGAATTTTTTCATACAGAATGGCTGTGGTATAAGGTGTCGTCGACTCAGTTCTGACTCCTCACAGTGCATTGTAAAACAGAAAGGTCCCCACACCATCCACGCAGTTGTTATGCTTGAGCCCATTTCTTGTTTTCCAGTGTGTCTGTATGTTCTTGTGAAAAGCAGAAATGGTTTCTGTGAGATAACTAACAACCTCTGTTGGGCGGTATTGACGACGCTAGGTCCCAATTTGAAGGCTCCTTACAGCTAGTGGAGTAAGCATACATGCACACCACTAACAATCATGAAAAATAAGCAATGATAATAGAAGGCTGAGTGTGATACTGTTATGAAGATTAGAGGAACCTGTTCTGCAGCATGAATCATTGATCAAATGGCATACCTTCTTCATTGAAGATAGTCTTCTGAGCCCATTGTTTTTACTCTCTCATCTTCTGAAGATAAAGACCAAACAAAGCCATCTGGCTCAGCGAATGTCTGTTTTTCTTCTCCTTTGTTGTTCAAAGTCGAGCCTTTATCAACAGCAATTTGCTTCCTTTTTTTTCCTTTTCTTTCTTTCCCTTCCACAAGGTGGCCATGAAACATCCGTCTGCTGTGACTGCCTGCAACCTGGACCTGGAGAACTTGATCACGGACTCAAACCGCAGCATCGCCACCCTGGCCATCACCACCCTCCTCAAGACAGGGAGTGAGAGCAGCGTGGACAGGCTCATGAAACAGATATCTTCTTTCGTGTCTGAAATTTCTGATGAGTTCAAGGTAAGAGTGTAAATATGAGCAGTGGCGTCCCTCGGGGAGTGTAGGGGTGACATTGTCAGAGGGGGTGATACCAACCTGACTAAATTTTTTTGCAGTATTTCAGCAGAAATTTATTATTTTTCATAAAACTAGGCTTATCGTTAGTTCTAACATAAAAATTATTCGTAACCCTGCTTACCTGTATCAGAATACTCTGCTAATTTACTCTTTGAACCATCTACTGTGCTCTGGTCATTTGTTACCCAATTCTAATGATGCTTCTGGTCCAGTGGTTTTGTCTGCACGTGCTATTGTAGTTTACGAGTGTTATTTTAATTTTGCTACTGGTAGTTGTTTGTGTCACTACTGTTGCTAATATAAAAGAATGAAGTAAGAGAATTAGGACTTTCAAGTCACGTTAGCACACGAAAACATGACTGCGGATTCTGTATGGCCTGGCATGGGAGGGATCCGTGGGGGACAAGGGATGGGGTGATGTTGCAGCACTAGGTGACCCCAACTCTAGTGATACCACCGAATGTGATTATGCTTTCTGTTAGCAGACGTCTGGTCTACTTAGTTTCTTAGCAGTGCTTTTTGATGAGTAGTGGTTTTTAAAATTTTATGAAATCTTAAATTGTTTTCCTTTCACAGCCATTGTTTTATGTCTTCTCCGACAATCTCCAAATCACAAAAATGTTCTTACTCTTTTTTTTTTTTAAACTTTATGGTTGTAGGTTTTACATTCATGTCTACGATACAACTAGAATTAATGTTTGTGTGCAGGGACTTCAAAAAGTGTGGAGGGAAATGGAATTAGAAGATAATAGAATTTTTCCATGAACTTTCTGAAGCCCCTCCCCCCTTATGTATATTGTGTGTGATACGTTCATGGTTTTGTTTTTTCCATGTCCAGTTATTCCACCATGATTTGTTGAAGAGTCCCTCTCCCCATCGGAGTACTCTGGTGCCGCCTTGGTCTGAAAGCAGAGCGCTGCATAAGCGCAGGTGTATCTCTTGGCTCGGTCACCTTCTGTTGGTCCTCCGGCCAGTGCTGCTCTGTCTTGGTTACTACAGCTTTTGGTCCAGCGTAAGCAACGAGTAGTGTAGATCTTCTCACTTTGTTTTTCTCTCTCGATAGTCCAGTTCCTTTGCTTTCTCATATAAAAATGTGAACCAGTGTCAGTTTCTATGCAATGAAGCCTGTTAGGAGTCACAGTATTACTGCATTGGACCCAAATCATTTTGGGAGCACCGACATCTGAATCACGTTCCTTCTTCCGATTCATGGACATACATGGACATTGTATGTCTCTCCATTTGGTTAGTGCTTAGTGTTTTGTTTTGTTCTGCACACTGCTTTGTAGCTCCTGCTCCAGGGGTCCTGCGTGGCTGTCGTGGGAAGAAGCACGAAGAGCCGGCTGCCTCCTCAGTATTGAGCTGTAGCAATAGTACCTCGCCTACGCCCCCTCAGAGCGTAGCTTGGAATCTCACGGAGACCTTTAGGGCTGTGCCTGTAACAATAGCGACTCCTCAGGCTGTTCCTTTGTCTCTCTCATCACGTGTGGAAACTGCAGCCTTGAAGCTGACTGACTCACTGACTGACCGACCACAGGCCACACAGTGGATTCGCAGCAGAGCCCAGACTAAAGTCGAACTCTTCCATTTTAAAATGAATGCATTTCTTTCCCCAGCATACTATCTGCTTCTCTACCTAACAGTTTTGTGCTAAGAGCATCTTTAAGTTTAGGTGTTGGGTGGGTTGGTTAAGGTTAAAATGTTACTGATGCAGTGTGAAAATTCATCAATTGGATATCCAGATTGGAATAAAATTGAATCTTCATTCCTGCCTCACACAATACACCAAGCTCACCTCTTGATGGGCTGCCATCACAAGTGTGCAAAGCAGTCAGGTGTTGTAGCAGAAAGCGTGGGAGAACCTCTTCATGGCTTTGAGGTTAGGGAACTATTTCTTAAATAATACACAAAGGGAATTTGGATAAATTGGACCTAATTAAAGTTAAAAAAGTTCCGTTTGCCAAAAGGCACCCTGGAGAGTGAGAAGCAGCAAGGAGAACTGTACAGACCCTGAGAAAGTGCTCTGGAGGATGTCGAGAGAACTTCAGAAGTAAGCTTACAAAGGGGTGGGAAACAAAAGCCTTGAAAAGACCCTAGACTGGAAAAATAAAACAGATCAGATTGTCATAAGCATATGGAAAGTAACCATTTTATAATCATCAAGGAAATGCACTCAAAACCATGTTTCCCTAATTTACCTGAAGGACTGATGAGAGCACGTCAGAGAAGGTTGGTGAGGATGTGGACATGAGACAACAATGCATTGAGAGGGAGCTTATGGATTTATTGGATCCCAATAAAAATGCCAGTAAGATTGTTCCTGAAGCTAGACAAGTTCATACTAAAATTCATAATAACAATGTTGCAAAAAATAGCTAGGAAAACTCTGGAAATAAAACGTTGGGGCGGGGTGGGAAGCTTGCTGTCTCCTAGAGAGCCTCTGCATTGGAAATCGTGTATGCGACTGGTGTCTGACTAGGCTGACGGGACCGGATAGAATGCCCAGAAGTAGACGCAGGTACATGTGGGAATTGAGGACATAAAAGGGAAGTCTTTCTTTACTGTGCTCAAAAGTTAAATGCAATAAAATAAAACACTGATAATCTAAATGAAAACAAAAATTTTAAAGATGTTTCATTTCTCTCCTAGTAATAAAAATTCACATTAAAAGGACCTAGAGATACCATTCATCACCCATCAGATTGGCAAAAATTTCAAAGCTTCACAATGTACTCTATTGATGGTGCAGCTATGGGGAAACAGGAGCTGTCTCACACCGCCGGTTGAGAAACATCCAAACCCACTGCCACTGAGCTGTTTCTGACTGCCTCGGGTTCCTGACCATAAATCTCTGAGAACAGCAGGCTCATCTTTCTCCCATGGGCAAGCTGGTGGAGTTAAACCTCCAGCTTTGTCCCATAGTACCACCGAGGTTGCTTTGCATTGCTGATAGAATTTACACACTGTCTACAAAACTACATAAGCATTAGTCCTAGCACATCAGCCATCTTGGAATTTATCCTGCAGGTAGACCACCAACAGCCTTTTAAACAAAGCGTGCACACAGTCATGCATTAAAGCACGGTTTGCAGCTGCGCACAATCACAAACTCTCCACAGAGGAGATTGGTTCAATTGCTCACGTGTAAGCTAAGGTTGAAGTTGAAGAAAATTAAGTCCACAAGAAACAAAATACGACCTTGAGTCTATCCCACCTGGATTTCAAGAACATCTCAAGAACAGATTTGAATCATTGAACACTAATGACTGAGGACCTGACCAGGTGTGGAAAGACATCGAGAACATCATACATGAAGAAAGCAGAAACCGCCCAGGAATAAACTGGACTCCATCTACATTAAAATTCTATGTTCATCAGAAAATAATATGAATAAAATGAAGACGACTTAAAAAACCTATCGAGACACCAGTTGCACACACTATTTTCAAATATAGAGGCTCTATAGCAGGGGTCCTCAAACTACAGCCCGTGGGCCAAATGCAGCCTGGGGAGGGCATTTATCCAGCCCGCCAGGTTTTTTTGCCCCGTTTGGTTTTTTTGCTTCAAAATAAGATATGTGCAGTGTGCCCAGGAATTTGTTCATAGTTTTTTTAAACTATAGTCCGTCCGGCCCTCCAGCGGGTCTGAGGGACAGTGAACTAGCCCCCTGTTTAAGAAGTTTGAGGACCCTTGTCTATAGGATATACCTAGCTTCCCCACTGCCAGCTTTTTATTTTCAGTTATTTTTGGAAATTTACTTTTATGAATCTTAGTATGAAGAATCACTACACAAGCTAACTGAAGAGAACAGCTATCTGGACAATGCTGAGATGCGCTCACTAAGAACTAGGGATGTCGTTGTGTTTATCCAAGTCTTTGGTCAAGTATGCTTCATAGTAGATCTCTTACCAGTTTTAATTCTCAGTTTTCAAAATGCTTAATCCAAGTATTTTATCTTCGTATTATAAAGTGAGATTTTCTAGTCCACTGTAGCTTCTAACTGAATATTATTGATGTATATATTGTTATTTTTGCAAGTTAGTTTTACCACCCACCGTCTTAGTGAATTATTTTGAGTTAGCTTTATCATTGATTCTCTTTCCAGGTATACTATCACTCCATCTGTAACTAGTTTTGTTTTTTTTCTTTTTCTAAGTTCTGTAGTAGTTTTTCTCCTATCTAAATACTTTGACTAATATCCCCAGGATAATGTTAAATGATAATGGAGATAGTGGGCATTCTTGCTTTGTTTATGACCTTCATTAAAATGCCTCTGAAGTTTTTCCCTTAAATAAGATGCTGACATTAGAATTGAAATAGCTATGTTTTATTATGTTCATTAAGTATCTATTCCTATTTTCTCAAAAATTATTATAAGGATTGTATATTGGATTTTATCAAAGACTTTTCAGCATCTATAGGTATATGGATTTTTTCCTTTGGGCTCATTAATATGGTGAATCATGTTAATTAGCTTTTTAATATCAAACCATCCTAGCATTCTTTTTTTTTAATTTCTTACTATGGCATTCTTGATATAAATTCCATTTCAGCTTGATGTATTCTTAAAATAGTACTGGGATTTGCTTTCTAGTAGTTGACCTAGAATTTTTGCATCAATATTCATAAGTGAGGTTGGTTTGTGTTTATGTGTAGCCTGTCTTAATTAGGTTTAAGGATTTTGAAAATCTTTTCTAAAAAGAAGTTGATTTTGTTTCCTTCATTTTCTGTTCTCTGGAAAAACGTGAAGATTTAGGACCCAGTGATTGTTGGGAGACAGTTCTCAATTCTCCCTGGGCCTTTTACATTTCTATACCTTTTACAAATTAGGTTCTAACTGCCCACTGTTACCAACAGCCCAATTTTGTTCCCTTTATATGGAATAAAGTGACTTTCAGCCTTGGAAGATAAGAGTGTCTCCCTCCCGAGTACACGCCAGACTTCCGTAAGGGCCTGGATGATACAAATAGGGCCTTGTCGAGAAGAGAGGGTGGCCACGCTTAGTGTGCAAGGTCATAAAGAGCATGCTACCCTTCAGAACAAAGGGTAGGCAGAGTCAACCACCAATTATAAAAAACTCACGTTCTTGGTTCAGAGTTCTATAAAGAAACCTTCTATGGGTGCAGCTATTATCTCCCCCTCATCATATTACATTGTGGTCATTAGGGCTCAAAGAAATGAGAAATAACCAAACACCTTGTGGTTTAATCCATACCGACGCAGAGTGACCCTGTAGGACCGAGTTGAGATTGCCCCTAGGGCTTCTGAGGCTGTCATCTTGATGGAAGCAGACTGCCCCCTCTTTCTGCTGCGTTCAGAATACCAACCTGGTGAGCAGCCAAGTGCTTGTGGCACCAGGGCTCCTCTGGGCTCAGGGGACTTGACCTTCTGGTGTGATGAGTGGTGTTTCATCTCTGACCAGAAATCTCTTGTTTTAATGGCATCCGTGAGATTGCAGCAAGCTAACTTGTCTAGTCAGATTTGTGAGGTAGAACTGGGTCATGGGAGTGCGGGGGTGGGGAGTGGGAGGAAGTATTTGGGAACTAGAGGAATGATGTGTGATTTGTTGGTGCTATACTGCACCTTGGTTGAATCATCCCTTCCTTATAACCCTTGTTGGGGGATATTCAATTGTCTACAGATGGGTTTTGGGTCTCCAAGCCCCCTCTTTCACATCAATATAGTTGGGGTTTTTGGATCTTTTGATGCCTGATCCTGTGGACAGCTCATGATCACACATGCTGGTGTGCTTCTTCTGTGGGGCTGATTTGCTTCCCTGCTAGATGGCCACTTGTTTGGCTTGAGGCCTTTAAGTCCCCAGACGCTATATCTTGATAGCCGGGCACCACCCGCTCTTCACCACATTTGCTTATGCACCCATTTTGTCTTCAGCAATCGTGTCTGGAAGGTGAGTATCAAAGAGTGGCAGGTTATCAGAACAAAGTGTTCTTGTTTTAAGGGAGGCCTTGAGTAGAGGCCCAAAGTCCATCTGCTATCTTAATACTTAACATATAAATATGTGTACATTGGCCTTCATCCCTTTCATTAAAAATTAATATACTTATATATATACATGCCTATAGTTATACCTCTATAAATAGCTTTGCCTCCTATCTCTTTCCTCTATTTCCTTTCACCTTCCTCTTGTCCCACTATCGTGCTCACCCTCCTTTCAGCTGTCAATATTTCCTCTCGGATACATTGCTCTTGATCAAGCCCCAACTGGCATTATACACCCTCTTCACTATCAATTTTAGGTCTCATGTTGTTCCCTTATCTTTGGGTTTGTTGGCTCCCCACTCCCCCTCCCTAGCCCCTTCCACTCCCATGTCCCCCCAGAACCTCTGGTCCCATAGTTTTCTCCTCGGGATTGTTCGTCCTGCCTATCTTATATGGATAGACATAGGGAAAAAGAAAAACAAAACATAATAAAACAGAACAAGAGGGGGGCAAACCCAATAGCTAGTTCCAGGTCTGTCTGCTGACACAGCACGCACGCAGGGTAAAAGTCCTTGACACTGCCCTCTAACATTTTGGCAAAACTCTGCAAGAACCCATCCAGTCTAGCATTCCTCCCTCCGTGAACGGGTGCCTCAGCACCGCTCTCTGTTCCATGGAAATCAGTCTGCTTACCCAGGGGCAGAGGCCTGGGGTCTCCTGACTGAGCTTCACTCTTGTTTTGCCTTTCATTCTCCTTTGAGGCCTCTGCTCATCTTTCATAGAGCACCCCGTTTGCCACCTTAGCTAACTATAGTGCTGTCGGGTAAATGAGAGGGAAGATGTACCAAGGTGACTCTTGCTGCTGTTGGTTCCCACAGGTGGTGGTTGTCCAGGCAATCAGCGCGCTCTGCCAGAAGTACCCTCGCAAGCACGGTGTCATGATGACTTTCCTGTCCAACATGCTCCGAGACGACGTAGGTGGACTACGTTTGCTGCGCTCCTCAACCCTGAAGCTTAGCCTGCCTCTTACATGTGAAGCACCACTAGCTTTACTAAATGTGTGATTATGTTGACTTTCCTGCTTGGAGGGGAAGAAAAGCTGTTGCTTCTTTGCCAAAGGGTGGGAATGTTGAGTATTGCCAGCATAAGCCCTGGAGAGCGAGCAGGCTCCCAACGGACTCCTTACAGTGAATAGTGGCTGAGAACACCCAATTTTCAGGAGGACGGTGGGAGCCCAAAATCCACTTGCAGGGTCCTTACATGGAGGAAGCCTCTGGTGAAGCCCCTCTGACCACAGTTGAGGCCCGGGAATGGCCTTGTCCTCAGACAGAGAGCTGTAAACTCGATGATGGCAGATGGGGTTGGGTTAAAATGTAATAGCTGATCGTTTGATCGCCCTTGTGACCCAGTTTATGTTTGCACACGTTTTTCATATTTCCTGCTTTTTTCTCGATTGAGGTTTTTTCCCTCTGGTTTATTTTGATATTGTTATTGGTCTTATTTCGTGAGTATGTTTTCCAGTATATGACACCCAGGCTAGGTAAGTCTGTAAAGACAGTCACTGGATTAGTAGCTTCCTGGGGACATGAGCGAGGAGGCAGGAGGGCCGTGGGAACTAAGAATACAAGAGGGAGAGAATGCCCCGGACAGGTTGCGGTGGTGCTTATGTGACTCTTCACTGTGACTGTGGAGCTATGGGAGTGTCTGCACGTGGATTACGTCTCAGTAAACAATTTCAAGAGGACAAAGCGAACGTGGTTTTCCATTCTCTCCGGCCAGGGGGGCTTTGAGTACAAGCGGGCCATCGTGGACTGCATCATCAGCATTGTGGAGGAGAACCCGGAGAGTAAAGAATCGGGGCTAGCCCACCTGTGCGAGTTCATTGAAGACTGTGAACACACCGTGCTGGCCACCAAGATTCTCCACTTGTTGGGCAAAGAGGGGCCCAGGACGCCTGCCCCTTCCAAGTATATCCGCTTTATTTTCAATCGGGTGGTCCTGGAAAACGAGGCCGTCAGAGCTGGTGAGTCCTGGACCTGAGGACGCTGACCTAATGGCTGGCCCTTTGAAATGCTTAACGTGGGTGCTATCGAATTTGGAAAATGAGGTTTCAGGGTCTATTTGTATTGGGGTTTGGGTTAGAGAGCTCTTCTTCCACTTCTCCACTTTCTAATTCCCATCCTAATTTCTGCCTTAGCTACAGAGACAACCCCGTGACCGTTCACTGTGCTAGGGTTGTCCTTGTAGTGTCATACATTGTTTTCTCTCAGTGCTAGAACCCTAACGTGTGTGTGTGTGTATGTGTGTGTCTGAAGCATTACTCCCTTCCCCCACATCTTCCTCTGTAATGGTTCCTTTTAGGGTACAAACAGATTCAGTCCCCCCCCCCCTCCTGTTGAAAACAAAATCCCTCTCTGATCTTCTGCTAGCGACTGTGCTTTCTTTTCTATAGAGACCTGGTGGTGTCGTGGGTTACGTGTTGACCGCTGCTGCGAGGTCAGTAGTTCAAAACCCCCAGCCGCTTCATGGGAGAAAGACAAGGCTTTCTATTCCCATAAAGAGTGACAGTCTTGGAATCCCACAAGGGCAGGCCGACCCTGAGAGTCAGCTGCGTCAGTGGCAGTGAGTTTGCTTCTTTCCCCCCTTTTTAGGTAAACGTCACTGCCTTGACTCACTGCCTCCTGAGTTTGCTTTCTGCTTTCTCCCCATCCTGGGGAGCTCCTGTGGCTGTGGTGGGGGGCCGTCGAGCCCGTTCCGCCTCGTAGCCACCCTGTGGACAACAGAAGGAAGCATGGTGCCACCCTCACCAGTGTTATGAAAGAAAGCAACTGTTCTAGAAATTACTTCTTGGCTAGTTGGAATTCAAATTAGGTACTTTAATGTGCTGACTCTGTGGTTCACCGGCTCGTGAATTTGGTGCGCCCTTGAGGAAGCACCGTGTGAAATTGTCCTTGATGTCTGCAGTGGCCTGCGTCTTCCTCACTCCTCAGTCACCCTTGCAGGACTCCTCATCCTGGGCCCATTTCCTTAAAATGTTATCTTTCCTCAGCGTTCTGACTTTGCAACACACGCCTTCCTGATGAGCGTTCTCAGAGCTCTCTCGTTAAGTCTAACAAGATATGACCTTCCAGGACATATCTCCTTCCTGAATTTTTATGCCCAACCATCTGAGGCACATCATAGTCAAATTCAACTGGAAGTTCAAAGCCAACAAATGGGAAGTCCACATCTTTCCCATCCACTCGGTTTTTCACCCCCGGTGAACCTGTGATAAAAGCTCATCAATTCTGACTCTTTAATATGTTTGGTGCCTGTGGCTGTTTTCAACAACTTTGTTGTTTTTGGTCAACCTCCCTCGCCGTCAGGGCAGCGTGGAGTGTTTGCCCTGCTAAACACACTCGGTGCCCCCTGTGAGGAAGACGAGGCCATCTTCTACAAGGACTTGGAGACCCTATGATTTGACACTGACGTGACGGCCCTGGGTTCCTACTTTTTAACTCTTCTGTATATTCTCGTGGAGGCTGCCTTTGGCTCTCCTCCGAGATCTTAGAGATCTAACTACTTCTAGTCTCACGTCCAGTCTGTTCCCCACAGTGTGTGATAGAAATCCTCTTTCAGATGCACAGATTGATCTTCTCTTGAACATCCTTCAGTGGTAACTTTAAGATTGACCCATAACTCATTTTCATCTCTGGTCCCATCTCACTTGTCTCTGCCCTGAAAACGGAGTCCCAGGGATCAGCCCTGTGCATCGTGTACAGAGGCTAGTACTATGTGCATTTTCTTCTTTGCACTTGGGCCTTTGGAATTGCTAGAGGAGCCCTGGTGTCGTCAGAAGTTTCAAACCACCAGCTCCTCCACAAGAGTTCCTACTCCCGTGACGGGGAAACCCCAGGGGCGGTTCTACCCTGTGGGTCAGGATGGACCCGATGGCGGTGAGGGAGGTGGCACAGTGGTTACAGTGCTTGGCTGCCAACTGCAAGGTCAGCAGTGTGACCCACCTGCCTCTCCGCAGGAGAGAGATGTGACAATAGGCGCCTGTCAGTGTTTACAGCCTTGGAAACCTTATGGGGCAGTTCTACCCTGGCCAGTAGGGTCGAGATGAGTCAGAATCGCTCAATAGCCATGGATTTGGGGTCCCTGTTAAACCTTTCTGCGTCTACAACTCTTTCTGACTTTCCCCGCTGGCCCACTCTTCTTGTTTTTCGAATGTTACTCAAGTACTAAGCCTCCCTCCCATGTGTGTCTTCTCAGCCGCCAACTCCGGTGGAAGGTCCCTTCTCTGGTCTCACGCCGCATCCTGGATCTAGTTCCACTGCCATGGCCTTCCTCTGCACTGTCCTTGCCTGTCTCCCACGAGCCGGTCAGGGACTCGTGTCTTTTATCTCTCTGTCCCTGCCACCTAGCACTGCTCCTGACAGAAGGCAGGCAAACAAGACATTTTATTGAAGGAGGGAAGCGTTCGTCATAGGGCTTCTTTTTTCCGCTGGGGTTGGTGGATTGCGATGGAGTCCTAAGCGTGGCACTGTTGACAGTGTGGTGAGGATGGAAGCGTGTGGTTCTTCCTCCTGACTGCTTGGAGAACTTGGTGAGTCAGAGCTCTCTTGGACTTGCGGGATTCCGCAGATGCATAACTGCATCACAGAAATAAGAACCAGGGCGTACCCATACGGAGCATGGCCAGCCGTTCGGTTTGTCTGTTTTTAATGGGTGCTGTTCTGAGGAGCCCGATGGCCAGTCAGTTTGGTTTGGGGTTTGGTTCTAAGAAACCAACGTTTATGCTTCTTCCATGCTTGCTTCTTCCCTCTAGCTGCTGTGAGTGCTCTGGCGAAATTTGGGGCTCAGAATGAGAGTCTTCTCCCAAGCATCCTGGTGCTCTTACAAAGGTAAGTAAATGGATATATTCTGGTTTTGCTTTTGAGAAGGAAGCATTCCATATGGCCACCGAGAGTTGGCCTCCTGGTACCCCATCAAACGCATGGCAGGGCCTAAGGGAAGGGTTGTTGTAGGAATGAGTGAGTGGCATGTTCCCCCCCTCCTAGTAATTCTGTATCGGGTTCCTGTGCTAGGTAACATGTGGCTTTGCGTTTTGTCTTGTGAGAATTTCCCTGTAGAGAAAGGGACCTGAGTCAGCCTGTTTGCGGGATAGGCACTCACTCCAAAGCCGTCTTGGCACCGCTGTGCGGGGATGGCCAGGATTCACTGTTGCGAGGGAGAACATCCACTTTCCAGGGCCCACAGCCCTCCCTGCTGTAGGGACACTTGTTTCACTGACAGCCACTCTGTGGTTGTACCCTGACAGGGAGGCAGATACACCTCAAGGCGAAGGCTGGCTGGTGTAAGTAAAACAGATTGCCATTTGAGCAGTGGCCACACCTGGAATGTGGATGCTGTCTATCTTGTTAGGGTCCTTGGGGAGTGTGTGGTCCCATTGCAGACTTAATGGAGAAGTCTTAAACCTTCACCAGGAGCAGCGGTTACAGATCCAAGAATGAACAGACTCCCGACCATTACCGCTGGTTACTGTGGTCTTTCCTAGTCTCTCCCCCGACCCTCCTTCCTAGTTTGGGGGGTGGGGGGGTAGTGGCTATGCATTGGGCTTTCATTCTATGTGGTCTCAGCAGTTCAAAACCACCAGCTGCTCCTTGGGAAAAAGAGGAGGCTTTTTCCTCCCATAAAGCGTTAAGAGTCCCAGAAGCTCACAGGGCAGTTCTGCCCTGTCCTTTAGGGTCATTCTGAGTGGGCAGCGACTCGATGGCAGGGAGCGTGAACTTCACCTCATCGGGGTCCACTCGATGACAGCGAATTGGGGTAAAATGAATGCCTGCCTGTGTGGGGCTTCGGATTCACAGCATTTCCTCAGCGACTCAGAACAGCCCCCCAGGGTGGTGGACACACTCACATCCTCCACTGGCTATTGTTGAGTCCTTAATAAATACAGGCAGTGTCGTGGGCCCTGTCCTGTCCCTCAGGCACGGCATGGTGGTGCAGTGACCTGCCTCTTCTGCTTCCCTGGACAGGTGTATGATGGATACAGATGATGAGGTCCGGGACCGAGCAACCTTCTACCTGAATGTGCTGCAGCAGAGGCAGATGGCGTTGAATGCCGCATACATCTTCAACGGTTAGTGCACACCAGGGACGTGGACACACGGGCATTTGGTCCCTGCGTGGTGTCGTGGAGGCAGATCTCAAGATCTGCGCCTGAGCTGCCTGTATTAGGCAAAGAGCTTGGTTTTTAGAGTTGGGTGTACTTGCCTTTCTAAGGGAAACCTTCTCACAGGACTAGCTTCGAATCTGATGGGGACAAGTCCTACAAAACCTCTACGAGGATGAGTTTCTTAAATTGGGAAGGACCCAAGGAACATCACTTGCTCCTGGTTTTTTTCATAAATCATCTCATTGGGGGCTCTGACAGCTCTTATAATAATCCATACATCCGTTGTATCGAGCACATTTGTATGTCGCCATCATCATTTTCTTTCTGCCTGAGCCCTTGGTCTCAGCTCCTGGCTTTTCCTACCTTTCCTGTTGAATGGGCGTAACCTTGGCCTCTTCCCTTGGGTTACCACTGTCTCCCAGGCCTCAGTGGCTTTCCTCTGTGGGGGGTCATGTTTTGTTGGCATGTTTATGCTCTACTTTCAGGTCTCCTCAGGCAGAATTGTAAGATAGGGTTATGAGATGGGATGGCTCCTGGGCGTTTGTGGGAAAATTCCATAACCTCTCAAGCCCCTTTTCCCATGAGGTTCTAACGCGGAGATGTCTGCATGTCCCAGGTCTGACGGTCTCGGTACCAGGGATGGAAAAAGCTTTGCACCAGTACACCCTGGAGCCTTCGGAAAAGCCCTTCGACATGAAATCCATCCCTCTTGCTATGGCTCCTGTCTTTGAACAGAAAGCAGGTAATGGGCACTCTTACGTCTCTTAGGGTTTCTGAGCATAAGTAGTGTTACCAGCAGGTGGCTGAGAGTGTTACCAGCAGGTGGCTGAGAGTATGTTTTTTCTAATACTTATTTCGTGTAATTGTGTCACGCCCTAGTCTAAATTTTCCAGATCCTAAGGTTCCCCCCACCCCCAATAAGGGCTTTAAAAAAGTTCTGGTGTTTGCAAAAATTTGAAGTGTGGCCCAGGATGAAAAATGATAAGTTTTGGGTTTTTTTCTTGCCAAGTGTTACGGCATCTTAAGCTCATTAACTGCTGTGGCCCTCCGAATGGTAATTAGCCCCTCGCTGCCTTCATTTTCTTCTGAAGCTGGCACTTCTAGTTCACGAATTTTGCTCTTGGAAATTTATCCTGACTGCATGTATGAGGCAAGGTGGGGAAGAATATTCTCAGAGTTATCTTTAAAACTGAAATAAATAAATAAATAAATAAGAACAACAACACAGGACCAGGAGTCAAATACCTCATGCTTCCTTTTCAACCTTGTTTTTCAGTTTATCTGTTGGTACTATCCAGTTTGACAGTAGACACTTTCTCCCGTTCTCAGACTAAAGCGTGAGAAGATTTGTTTGATGAATTGTTCCTCCTTGCAGAAGTAATTGTTTTTGTACATGCTTGCCCATTTAAAGCCGATTTGATATTTTTAGGGTATATTTAATGATCTTGTAAAACATGATCGTTACATACATTTGAATTTGTGCATCTTGAAAGAAAGGGGACCGAGAACCCATTGGAATGATGTAGAAGTGGCCCGGTGTTTATCTGCTAGACACTTCTGCCCCTCACCTTGCTGTGTGTGAATGTGTTAGTTGGAGAGTGGAGTGAAAACTCACCTGCTTCTTCATCTGTGTCCTTGCAGAAATCACACTTGTGACTAATAAGCCAGAGAAGTTGGCTCCTTCCAGGCAAGACATTTTCCAAGGTAGGGCGCTTTGATGGCCCTGGGCTCGCCTCCTTGGCATTGCACATGGAGGGAATTCTGCTACTTGACTCAGTTTAGCTAATTCTCACCCAAGACATCTTCCTAGAACTAACTGGAGCATGCTGACTTATTTCTTATCATAGGCTACAGTTTCTAGGCCACCCGGTGTCCATGAGACTTTCCAATTCCCAATCTGTTAACTTGCTGCTTGAGCATGTGGTTTTGAGTTTGTATCTTGCTTACTCACCGAGAACTCAAATTCTAAGGAATTAGGATTTTAATTTCCTTTGTTTTTTAAAGTAGTTCAGGATATTAACTTGCTTACTGAAAAGATTACTCCACTTAAGCTTGGAGACATTAGTTGGTCTGTTGAGAAGAGTTGAACAATAATTAGTAGTCAGTTAGCAGGAAGGTCTGGGAGATGCAGAGTAGTAGCTTCCCTGCTATAATAGCCTGCTTTCTTCCTTCTAGAGCAATTGGCTGCCATTCCTGAGTTTATGAATCTAGGACCCTTGTTCAAGTCTTCTGAGCCTGTTCAACTTACAGAAGCAGAGACTGAATATTTTGTTCGCTGTATCAAGCATGTGTTTACGAATCACATTGTGTTTCAGGTGAGCTGAGGGCCACTAGATAAGCTGTAGAGATCATTTCATTTCATGTGATGGGGCCCTGTGAATGGTGAAAAATGTAAAAGTTCATAAAATTGAAATGTATGGAGAAGTTGTGCAACAAAAGTATGACCTACTTAAAAAAATAACTCTCTTTTAATATCAGTGTAGGTTAAGTGAGCTGTTCCAAGAACGTAGGTCTTCTAGTTGATGCTTGGTCAGCCATCAGGGGGCCGCCACCCTGTTTGGGAGAGCTCAGTCACAGGAAAGAGAGAAAACGGATGGCTGGATAAACCACCAGCCAACCATAAAACCCCTGAAATAAGATGATCTTTGTCCCTTAAAGAGATTATTTATAAGGTAGAATTGAGGATGTACACTGGTACAGATAGGAACTGGAAACACAGGGAATCCAGGGTGGATGATCCCCTCAGGACCAGTGGTGAGAGTGGCGATACCGGGAGGGTGGAGCGAACGTGGGTAGAAAGGGGGAACTGATCACAAGGATCTACATATAACCCCCTCCCTGGGGGACAGACAACAGAAAAGTGGGTGAAGGGAGATGTTGGACAGTGTAAGATATGACAAAATAATAATAATTTATAAATTATCAAAGGTTCATGAGGGAGGGGGGAGCTGGCAGGGAGGGGGGAGAATAAGGAGCTGATATCAAGGGTTTAAGTAGAAAGGAAATGTTTTGAGAATGATGAAGACAACCAATGTACAAATGTGCTTGACATGATGTATGTATGGATTGTGATAAGAGTTGTACGAGCCCCCAATAAAATGATTTATAAATAAATAAATCAAGAGACTCTGGAAAGGGAAGGCACCCAGTGGTCCAGAATGGAGTCACAGGTAACGGGTGGGAAAGAAACCCCTTGCGTGGGGTCCTTGTTCTGAGCATGTGCGTCTTTTCCTTGTGGTGCCTTTCCAGTTCGACTGCACCAACACTCTGAACGACCAGCTGCTGGAGAAAGTGACCGTGCGGATGGAGCCCTCGGACGCCCACGAAGTGCTCTGCTGCATCCCGGCCCCCAGCCTCGCTTACAACCAACCAGGAATGTGTTACACTCTGGTCCGTTTGCCTGATGATGACCCCACAGCAGGTACTGACCCACAAAGGGCTGGAAACCTTAACATGGCCGAGAATGCATTAAAAGGATAGGTCAGGGTTGAAGAAGGCAATTCTTCAGAATTGTGTTGTGTTCATAACTAGGTATGCGATTGCTTCGGCTGTGGAAATGTCCCTTTCCAAGCAGAGTCTGGGAGTGCTCTGGAAAGAGAAGCCGTGGGCATGTGGTTGTGGTGGTGGCCCAGACAAGGACGCAGGCTCTCGCTGTGGAGCCCTGCGACCAGGGCTTTCACTCAGGTCTCTGGCACAGGGTGCTGTCTCACTGCTGTGTCTCCCTGCCAGGGGACTCTATGGATTTGGCCGCCCAGTAGGTCCTTGGCATTTCAGGATACGTCATCTCTGAGGTCTGATAGCCTCAGCCTCGTGAGTCATCTAGCCAATTACGGCACCCAGATTTGAGCAAAGCTGTGTCATTTTCTACTTGACCCAAGGCAGCAGTTCCAGTGTGGTGACAAACTGTTGCCCTCTGGAGGGCAAAATGCCCCCCCAAAAAAGAGAGCCACTGGTAGTGCCGACAACAGTATTTGCAAACCTGGAGGTGTGAGATGACCCTGTTGGTGGTCTCTTGTGAAGGGCAAGCCTCTGCAGACCTTGATTTCATCGCCCCCACCCCCAACCCAGTGTTCCCTGCAGAGAGGTGGGTCACACTGTGACCCTGCCTTTCGCAGAAATAAGCACACAGGGCACATTGATATTTTGCACAATTTTTACTGCCAGTCAGTACAAGAAAAACAGATAGGGTAACAAAATTAACAAATATTGGGGAAGTCACAGAGTTACAAGAAGTCAAAAAGGTACTAGCAAATAGTTCTCTCCGGTCAGCGTTCAGTTACAACCAAGGCTTGGCCTGCTCTCTTTTGGCCCCTCTCCCAACTCCCTCCTCCTGTGATACTGCCCCCTGGGAGTCCCTGCCCGGCCCTGCTGTGGTGGGTGGTAGACCAGGCTACTCAGACTCTAGCACGAGGTAGATTCGAGTTGGCACCATTGCTGGGTCTGAATCCCGGATGGTTCCCTCTGGTCCTGGGCTGCGCAGCCCTTCTCCTCGGCAGCCCGCTGGATCCACAGTGCCCTGGGCAGGAAGGCACTTTCCTGTCTGGCCTCCCCGTGGAGCCCAGGCCATCCTGCATTGGCCTGTCATCACCTCCCTTGTCTAGTTCTGCTTGCTCATCGTTGCGCCCTGGCCTGGTCTGTTTCTCTCTCTCTCTGGTTAGCTTTGTCTGAAGTATGTCCCCTAGCTGGCTATCCTCTTGAGTTAGGCCGGTTTCCTTGACCCCTGTTCTAAGCGAGGATTTGGACCTGTTGGCTTTTCCCTGGGAGATCCTATACTTTACCAGTTGTTGTTGTTTTCTGCTAGCCACCTCACCGTGTTTCACAGTCTCCCTGCTAAGTTACTTTTTACCACATTTGTTTTCTAAGGGGTGCCATTATCTCACCACTTCCATTTCAAGGGAAGGGAACTCGCCAAACCCATTCTTCCCATTTCCCTAGGTGCGCTCTGCTAACTCAGGTGCCTCACACCCCAGGGAGCGCTCTTAACAAATCCCATAAGTACAGTTTTACAATATCAAAATACAGCAACATTGAACAAACAAAAACAACAATATGGAGATTACAGCAATTACTTATCATACAGAAGTATAATACAGAACAAACCAAACATTTCCACCAAGAAAGGAGCAGAGAGAAGGTTCCCTCCCCTCTCTCTGGCTACAGAGTATGTTTCGTTTTAAAGTACAGATTTGAAGAGCGAGCCCAGAGGTTTCACCCTTTGGTGTATTAGATATGGGCTCGTCCGTTTGTTGGTATGTTAGTTGTTCTGTTTCGTTTGTTAAATAAAAATGTGACATTGGAGAATTTTCTTTTTTGTGAAAGGGCTTCCTGATCAGGACTGAAATTTAGTTACAAACTCTGTCATAGTATCGTCGATAAATGAAATCGAATTTTGTCACAATGCCTGAACTTGAAACATTTTGTTTGTGGTCTGTGTATATTTGGTCCATCATCTGCCTGCTTAAAAATGAACCCCTACCTTCACTCTCTTCACTCCTACCTCCCTCCTCTCGACTCTCTGTCACAAGGTGTGGAATGTGTAACCTCCGGCCAGTCCTGCCTTTGTTGGTCCATGAAAACACGTGACATACCAGGGCATAGATGGTACAAAGCAGTCGTCTACCCGTCCTCCCTCTGTGCGAGTCCCCATCACAGACCTGCCACCTGCTGCCAGTCACTTCAGGATCTACATGCCCCTCTACCTGCCTTGTCGCAGAACTCTTCCCTAAACCTCGGGGTGGGCGCGGGGAGGATTTAAAATTTAGGTGTGACTTCAAGGTGAACTTGAAAGTAGGAAATGCTTGCTTTAACAGAGCACCTTGACCTTCTCAACGGGTCTCGAGTTGAAGCCTCGCGGTGCGATTCCGAGCAGCCGTTTGGTCAGACGGCTGTAAGCATGGTTTGGGAGTGGGGATGGAATGGGATGAAGAACGTAAGGTGCGTGTGTTTGCTGCAGTGCCAGACACTAGTGACCCCTCAGTAAGTGGAAGCGAGTAGGCTTTCGTTTCCGGAATGATCCCCTTCCTCCCGTTATCCTCTCGCAAACCCCCCTGCCCAAGGGTGGAAAGACACACCCTCCAAGTCTACCAATGATTCTCTTCTTTCCTGAAGTTTTTTAACTTCCTCATTTCTCTAGCTTTCCCCTTTTCGAATTGAGAAAGAAAAAAAAATCTGCTCCCTTAGGAAACACCCGCAGTAGCCCAGCATCAAGATACTCCCATGTACCCTTCCCTCCAGTCGTGAAGGGTGCTTAAGAGTGGTTGACATCAAAGGGCTCAGCCTAGTTGGTCCTGTTGGTTGGCTTTTGCCCTTTAAGAATTACTCCTTATCTCAAACGCTCTAGAAAAACAGGTAGCACTCCTTGTTGCATCTGTTCTCACTCAGTGTGGATTGAACTGATGACAGTATGTCCTATCCCATAGATGCAGCAGTCCACCCATTCCCCTGCTGCCGACCTCAGTAACGCCTCTGCCCATTTGATGAGGTGTTCAACTGCATGGCCAGGACCCTTCGAGTCCCTGTACTCCTTTTTACTGTGGGGCTGTGTCAGGCTGTATCCCATCCTGTCTCTCATCGTCTGGAACCATTTTAGCCAAATACCCCATTTGACTGTCTGGCATCCACACCAAGATCAAGTCGGTCCGTGCATACATGTGAGCTCCTTTTCCTTGGTTCTCTGGGGATCCTGACGGCCGTGCCGCCCTGTCATCTGTAATTCAGCTCTCAGTGACCTGCCTACAGATCTTTCAGCCTTCATCGTGACAAAATCCCACAATCTGATGGATGCAGCATTCCCCCAGAACATGTCCCACCTTCCCCGCAATCCATATTTTCTTCAGTAGGAGCCAGATTTGCTCCCAGCATTCTGAACTCAACTCACAACTTCAGTTACAACGTCAACATTGGCTCACCTCCGGACACTCATCAGAATCCATACTGACATCCTTCATACACTCTCCATTCTTCCAAGCCAAGCCGTTCACCTGAATTTCCGCTCAAATGCGTGGGAAAAAAGGTAGCATCGGTAAAAAATGTACTTCCCAGTCACTATTGTTCCACCTTGACCACTAGAGTTTTGTTTCAGTAGGCGGCCTTAGAAACCAGCATGGGTATTTCTCCAGTTGAACTTGTGTGAGGACTGCCAGGATTCCAAGTTTACCACCTCCGTGTTCACTCACACCCAGTTTGCCCTCTGCCCCCTCTCCGCCCCCCTCCCCCCGAGCCACACTCTGCTATCTGTCCATTCCCTCTGCACCCACTGTAACCTCGCTTTCCCTCTTCCGTGGCTCCCTCTAGTCCCATCCTCATCAACAGCAGCCATCTTGACTGCTGCCATTCCTGAGAATGTGGTGTAGCCACCTAGTCCTCCCCTCTGACTCTGCCCCCCAGAAGCAGCCTGCCTGGTATGTCCTGCTCA